AATAAAAATTTCTTGTGTTCATATGTGCACAAATTTTTTTTTGCAGATCATAAGATCGACGAATTTCCAACACTGGTTTGAATTTTGCATTTTTATAGTGCAGATCATCAAAATAACGTTGTACAAGGGACATGCCGCCTAATTACTAATACTAATACTAATATTGACACACGGACATGCCCCGGATAATGTCAAAGAAACACTGTAAAAAATGTTCGCGTAACAATTTGTCAAGCGGATGTACCCGCTCATTTACTTAAATATCCTGGACATCCGGTACTAGTAATATAAACCACAAGTTAACGTAAGAAAATGTCTTTACCATCAACATATTATTAGAACCAATATTAAATTAAACCAAAGCAATTAAAAAACCTTTTGTAAAGCATATGTTGAAAAATCAGAAGAAGAAAAAATGGTTTCCAAGCAAAAAAATTCGAATAAATCCAGCATCTAAAGAAATGTATAATTTAACAAATATGAGGCGGAAAATTAGGTGAAACTTAATCAATTACAATTGTTTAAATGTTTCGCACAAATGTTAAAACAAGATCAGTAAATTATTATAAATCACTTTTTGACCAAGCGGAATTAATTAATTAATTAATTAATCAACCGGGTAATTAAATAATCCTATATTAATAATCCAGAGTCTTGCTTGAGAATGAAGGCAGAAAGTTAATATATATAAATTTATTTCCTTTACAAATAAACATTCTCATAATAAAATAATTCTTTTTTGTTTAACACTTTTGTGGTCTGAAATTAAACGGTAGGGTTTAATTGTCCGTTGGCTATCAGGGTGGCATAGAACTCCAAGGTTTTGTTATATGCTATGGTAGAAAGCAATGATTTTGGTTATTGGCTTCATATAAGCAAAGGTTTTGTTTTGGGTATTTGCTATAGTAAAGAAAGCAAGCGTTTAATTTTTAAGCGTAAGCGTTCTTGTTTGATTTTTGTAATTGTTAAAACTTAACTTATTGGCAAAAGTATTAAGTGTCAACAGTAATTGCTGATTGACCACTTATACAAAGAGCCAACAGTTATTAACCAAAGTCATTATCACATATTGATTATTGTGTTAAAGAAATTGTTGTAAATGTTCGGATGACTTCAATCAGCCCAATGAAAGTAAAGGCAAAGTAAATAAAAAAGAACTTTATAGGAGTATTTGTTGTTTCGTAGTAATTTGTTGTTAATTGTACCATAAAGTGTGCTTACAGATTTACCAAAGCTTTCTAGGTACAAGAAAGAGACAACAAGTAGGATAATTTCGTGAAATAAATAAATTAATTGACGAGTTAGCTAAAAAGCTAACTCGAAACTCGGCCATAACCAAGGTTGACTAAAAAGCTACTTTTGTATTATTTACAAGCAAATTTTATATTTTATTTAGGAATGTCCAGGACATTTAAAGTGGCAGACATGTACACGGACAGTCTGGGATGTATCCGTGTCTTTATCCACCGGTAATCCTGGTATAAAGACATCAAAAATCATGCAACTTCAAAACTAAGGCTTTTTTTTGTTAAAAAAACTTCATTTTGAGCCTTAGTGGACAAATAATGAAAACATATACTCCCCGATTAAGCACAATATATACAAATTAGATCGTAATATAATTTGTGCTGCGCATGAAACTATTGGATTATATTATAAATTTGATTTGGCAAATTTATCATATACTTTTATAAAACTTTAAAATCTTCTCTATATCAAAATTTAGCAGATGCGGCTAATTTGTTAAGTTTAAATTTCGTATCCACGACACTAACGCCAATACTAATATGGGATATCTAAACGATCAAAAAAAGGGGGTTCGAATTACAGGTCTTTCTAAGATTTAGTATGTCATATGAACAGCAAGTAGTGGTAGCTTGAATGATTTCTGGGCCAACCAGGTCACTGCACAACTATAAATGAACGGGTATTACGCAGCAAATCTCAATTATATTTGTCATCTCAGGTCCATTTTAAAAGCTATGAGTATAAAGTTTGTCTGAACATCTGGTATCTTATTATCTTTAAAAAATAGGCATTAAAAAAAATGATTGATGTAGTGCAGGGCATCTATAACAGTCAATGATTATTACATGTCTTTAAAGGCCTATAACTCCTTATTAAAGAGAAAAAAAAAAAAGAAAACCGATAAAGTTAAAGCTAAAGAGCTGAGCTTCATTTCCATTGGTTTATTTTTTCTTTTTATATGGTTTCAAAGTTGGACCATTTTATATGTAAATTGTAAAATATCCGGAATCATCTTCTCTTGTGATCGGCCTAAAATTTTTTTCGCGATACAGAAAATCTTTCCAATTAAGAAACCCGATTACTTAATTAGAAAAATCTGAAGTTTTTAAATTTCGGACCGTGACATTTATAGATGACTTGAACCTTAGTAATAGTGTTACCTTTATATATTACGTGTAATCCTTCTTAATTGGGATTCTACGATCTCGCACGCATGAGCATGATGGAAGTTCGAATATACATGCAGCCCAAAGTACTTGACACTGTCATAAAGGGTTACACATGTCATAAAGGGGTGTTACACTTATGTTTTTAATTTTTAATTCTATAGAGCGGATATCCGTTATCTGTTCATCCGTCATTTATTACAAAAAAAATCAATCCGTCATCCGTTAATTGCTCAAAAAATACATCCGTCGAATTTAAACGGATTATCCGGATTGATCATCCACGGATCGCATCTCTAACTTTTTATATACCATCAAAATTGGACCCGTTGAATTCACCAAACCAATTTGGGCTACATGTATAATCTCGAAATTATGTTGTGTGACTATATAATTTTAAAGTAAGATTTGTATATGTAAAATCACGTTTTCAATTGACAAACAAATTATACATAATAATAATAATAATATTCAAATAAACTTTATAATTATTTGTAAAATAGAAAAAAAATTGTAGTTTCTACCTTGGCCATATAAATAACTTCAATATCCATATACTTTTACCAGAGGCGAGGAAAATCAAATAGTAACTTTCAATACACCATATACTCTTCACGATACACCACTTAATTGGTGGTTGACATTCTATGATGACATTGATCATCTTCAAAATATTGCAATCAAAATCTTTTCTCTTTGTCTTCATAGTGCCAATGAAAACTCTTGAATAACATTGTCGACTTAAATCCATAAGTTTTAGAAAAACGGGAATACATATCAAATCAACTAATTGTTGAGAGTTGTTTCAGTATCAAGTGCTTGGATGAAGACTTTTGTAATTCAAGGAAACCATCTTGGTTAAGACATTAATTAGATTTTTTTGTAATCAGAGGCATCTTTTTTTAAAAAAAAAATAATTTTATAAACACTTGCTTTGTTGAATCTTTTATCCTTTTTTCAATCTCTATTTCCGCAATTGATTTTTTATGGTTGAGAATTACTTTAAAGCCAAATTGGCATTTTTCGTCAAATTCCCATTTAAAAATCAACCTATGGTAAACAGATTCGAAATTTAGAAAAAGTTTGAAATGAACTTTGAAAATTAATCTGCACTTGCATATTAATATAATGTAATTACTCGTTTGAAATTATTGTCATTATTAGAAGTTGTCAAAGGAGTTGTATTAGTTATTGTTGATGATAGTGATGGCAGTGAGTGAGTTCGCACTGTTGATGAATTAAAAAACAATAATAATTATGATTAATAACTAGAATGGCGAGTTGCGGACCGATAACCACCATGATACTACTACTAAAATAACTTGTAAAAAACAATCATGCAATACCATTCTTTTTAGATAACTAGTAATAACACTTACTCAAAATGTTGTTGTTTGACGTACACAACTAAGCCCCTATTGTTATTTTTTTGGACGCAAATTGATTTTTTTTTGGAAAAACAATCAAGAGTCTGCCAAGATGACAAACATAGTTGGTTCTGCTAAAGAAGAAGTGTAGTTTATTAATAGCAGAGGTACACCCCCTCGTTCTAAAGTAGTAGTAGAGGATGTTATCTTTCCGAACTTTACGGTATTAGTATATTATTATAAATAAAAATACGTAAGACAATTTTCATTGGATTAATTATTTATATGCATTAGATAGTGTATATCGATCCGAATCAATTTATTTATATATACTAATACTGTATATGTTGAATCAGGCGGGTCCGAATTAATGAATCAAAAGTTAGGTGATTCAATTCGAATTTCGTTGATTCGTTCCGAGACTTAACTAGAATGGACTAATTCTGAACTGCTAGAACAACCTATAAGCCAAATCCATCAACTTCAGACAAAACTATATCAAATCCATAATGTACTATTATTCCATTATCTCTCAAAGGTAAAATTTTCGATTATTGTTTGAATATGGAAAAAAAGGAAAATTGAGGAAAAGAAGAGCCTAAGAACAAATTAAAGATATATATATATATATCATAAAGGCTTAATTTTAATTTTTCTTATTTGCCTTTTTAAATTTTGAATAGAAATTCATTCATAAGATCCAATAAGTAAACTACACCGTCTATTTCAATCGAAGCATGCCAAAAAATGTTGTAAACGCATGTCTAAACAGGTAAATCAAGAATAAATTTGTCCGTGGTTCGTTTTTTCGGGAAAACTCTATATCGATACTAACGCTAATCTCGAGTGTTTAATTGTAAATAAAATACAAGTGTAATGTTACGACCCTTGGATTTTTATTAGAAATGCACCCGCAGATCATTAATAAATAAATGGATATTAATATTGTTGTGTATCAATATATATATTTGTTTCATATATACAGCATATTAGTGATACTTGTTTCAAATTAATTCTTTCGAAAAATTTAAAGAAAAAAAAAAGTATTCTTTTAAAAAATGAAGACGTCTTTTATTTTATTTGCAATTGGAATTGTAACTTTATTTTCTACTTCAACTATGGCTACTCCGGTTGCTGAAGCAGAACCTCCTAAATTCACAGGTTAGAAATCATCCTCATCATTACTAAAATATTAATTTATTAGAGATTTTATATTAATTAAAATAATATTAATATTTTTTAGATTCTAAAGGAAATGTCATTTTGATGGATTAAAATATCATTTATTAACCATCGTTATCAGCATCATCATCATCACATCATTTGTTTTTAAAAAGTATGTTAAAAAA